TTTGCTTATGGCAATTTGTTTGCTTGCTGCTTTTTTTTAAAAAAATCTGAATGTCTTGCTTTTTGATTTGCTGGCCTTACATTTTAATTTAAAAGCTTTCTCGACTTCACTCAAAAATGCTTCACATAACAAATTTCTCGTTTTCATTTATAGATGTAGTCTCTCACTCCCTCTCTCTTGAGTGCACCTCTTCCTCTTTGTCGCGTGTTACTTTCTCTTGACTCTATCTCATTCGCTCAGTCTGGAAGAAAGTGGAAGGTTTCAAGACGAACTTTCTCCATTTCATCTTCCCTGTCTTCTCCCTGTTCTTCTAGCTATCTTTCTTCCGGAGTTCTGTCGTTTTCTTGCATATTTCTCCTCCCCTTTCTATTCTTGATTCTCTGTCTCCTCCTTGACTGTCACTCTCTCCTGTAAGGACAATACAAAATTTCATATTTCTACATTATTTTTCTTTACACACAACGCGGACATATTCGCTGCTAACGTTCAAAAATAATTCCATGTCCGGTTTAATGAGTATCAGTCTGCCTCCCAGAACTGATTGTTATCAGAATGTGTAGAGAGTTTTTGGTCCTTCCACAAGTAATTGCAAGAAATAAGCAGGCCACGCCGCTGCTTCATTTTTGCCCGAAAGACAACTTGAGCGCTTCACTATTCAAGATGCAGCAGCAATCCGAGTTCAAAACAGTTTTTCTTCTTCTTCTTCTTCTTCTTCTTCTTCTTCTTCTTCTTCTTCTTCTTCTTTTATTTTTTTATCTTTTCGTTTATTTGTTTTTTTTTTATTTCTGATTCTTTTTTCCTTTTACTCTTTTCTTTCTTTTGTCTTCTTTTCTTTCTCATTCTTTTTCATTCTTTTGCATCTTATTCGTTTTCTTCGCCCCTTTCTTCTTCCTTACACTTTCTTTCGTTCTTCCTCTTTTATCTTAGATTCTCTTTCTTCTCCAAGGTACTCCATGCATAGAAAGATTTTAAAAGTATTATCTATCGTCAACGATTAAACACACACACATACACACACTCTATCTATCTATCTATCTATCTATCTATCTATCTATCTATCTATCTATCTTCCCTTTGATCCCATCTTTCGCTTTCGATTCACTTTTTTTTTCATTCTTTCTAGCATACATTATTTTCCTCATTTCCTCTTTATTCTTACTCCCTTTCTTTCTATTCTTTCTCCCCCTCTCTCTTCGCTTTGCCTTTTTCTATTCCTTATATCTGTTTGGCATAAATTAATTTTCTTAGGTTTTTCATCTTTTGAAAGGATTTCTTTAGAATGATAATTGTTTTATTGATGGAGCACTTTATACACACACGCACATGCATATATACCTTTTTGTTACATTAATTCACCCGAAGCAAGGCGACAATGCCACTAAGACTCGAGGCTAATGGGAGGAACAAAGATGCAAAAATACATTAGACGGAACAGGGAACAAGGGATTATTATTATTATTATTATTATTATTATTATTATTATTCGTACCCTTCCCCTTCATGATGTAGGCGATCTACACAATTTCCTGTCCGTTGTAAATCTTAATAAATTTTGTCTTTTTTTTTTTATTCTCCTAAAATTTAGCTCCGGCATCCATTTACTCAAGCTCGCTAGGTAGGTTAGGCGTTGTTTTCCTCTGTCCCTGTGAGTATCAGATTTTACAAGCATTCTTTCCTCATTATGTACTCTAGAAATTTCAACTATCTCTTTCTCGTGTTAAATATATGTGTCCTTTTTGCTTCCATTTTCTCTAAAAATTCGTCGTTGCTCAAAGGTTATGTCCATGGAATTCTCAATATTTTTTTCTGTAGAGCGTCATTTCTGTTGCCCCACGTCTCTTCCTCATCTATGAGGAGATTGTCCTGTATTCACTACCATATAGTAAGACTGATATTACATAAAAGTTCAGTACACTTTTTCCTTTTTTCGCATAAAATTTTCCTGTTTCTTAATACTTTACTTAGCTTTTGGAAGACATCTTTCACTGTTCAATGCGCCTTGGGATTTCAGTGTAACACATTCTTTTACAATCTTAAAAATGACTGAAATGATTAAGCAAACGAGAAAAGTACATGAAATTAGGATTATAAATTTGCAGAATTATTTAAGTCCTGGATGTAATGCAATAAATGGTTCAAACTATATTTAGAATATCTTTATCGAAGCAATTTTCACATCAAAATTAGCATTCAATTTATCTTTACTAGCACGAATATTTGTATTCCACAAAAAGTGCAATTATTATTATTATTATTATTATTATTATTTAATTATTTTATATTACATTATTTTATTATATCATTATTATATATTATATTATTATTATTATATATATTATTATTATTATTCACAATATTACATTATTATATTATTATATCATTATTATATTATTATATCATTATTATATTATTAGGTTGGTGCAAAAATAATGACGTAATAATGTCGTTTTTGACGTATTTTTTAAGGTCAAAAAACGACATTATTACGTCATTATTTTTGCACCAACCTAATATTATGCACAATATTATATTATTATATTATTATTATTTCCTTTGATTTCTGGCGTTTACACATTTCTTTCCGGGTCCCGCCCAGGGACCTAAGGTTAGAAATGGCATCATGACATTTTCCATTGACAAAAAAAAAAAAAAAAAAAAATTACATAGATAAAGCCCTTCGTAAAGTGTGGACTGTACTTGTCAGAACAATTTTTGTATCTTTTAAGGCATGGACTCTAGTCTACTGGA